GACTTTCCAGTATATGCTCACAGGCTAACGGCATCTTTCTGTAGCTGGTATTAAGGCAAAAAGCTAACCAACGGTCCTTCAGTCTAAACACTATTGTTGAGGGGCTATTCAAATGTTTTTCCACATTACTTTTCAGATATATAATCGAATAGGTAATACGCTTCCATGGCACAAAATTGAGAAAGTACTCGGCTCCACATCTTGCTTTTTCATAGATCTTTATGTATGAGTACATAAAGAGTTTTCTCATTGGGTAGACATACCAGTATTTATTTGGTCAATCTGCTATTGATAGATCTGGTTGCTTCTCATTTTTTGTTATTTTTTAAAAGATTTTATTTATTTATTTGAGAGAGAGGGAGAGAGCAAGAGAGCACAAGCAGGGGAGAGAGGCAGGCAGAGGGAGAAGCAGGCTTCTAGCCCAGCAGGACTCCATCCAGTACCCTGAGATCATGACCTGAGCCAAAGGTCATGATCCCAGGACCCTGATCATGACCTGAGCCGAAGGTCACTTATCTGAGTGAGCCACCCAGGCCCCCATCATTTTTTGTTAATCAACACAACGCTACAGTGAATAACCAGCCTTGCACACATAACAGTTTAGACCAATGCAAACATAACTGGAGGAGAAATTCCTAGAAATAGAATTTTGGTATGAAAGTCTCATGTATTTGTACTTCTTATAGTTACCGCAAAAATTGTCCTCAATTGACTAGTTGCCCTCCCATCAGCAATTTATGAGAGGACTTCCCCATCCCAGCTTTGTCAACGCAGTGCATTGCCAATGTTTTTATACTTTACCAATGGTATCTCACTGTAATTTTCATTAGTGTTTCTCCAGTCATGAAGTTAGTTACCATTATTGACATACAAACCCTTTGTTAATTTTGATGCTCAGCTGTCCAGATACAGAGCAATTACAAATGATCCCAGATTTGTCAGAATTTTCTAACCTACTGCTTCGATGGAGACCCCAAACTAGAGGACGTTGTTCATTTCCTTTCATTCTGCCCCATTTTTCCAGAACTATCTAAGGCGTTTCTGGGGCACCCCAGATATTTTATTTTAAAACCAGTATTTTAAAACCAGTATAAAAACATGGTGCCTGGCACAACAGGAAGGGTTCAAACAAACTGTGGAACAAATAAATTAAGAACACCACCAGAAACATTCACTCACTACTTCATATGGCTATGTACTTATGTAACTTTCAGTCTGTGTTTGCAATGACGATTTCAAAACTAAAGATAGGGCTGCTTTAGACATGACATTTGATATGCCACAGTGAGCTATTGTTCTGGGGCTTTTGCTTTTGCGAAATTCACTTTCAAGGGCTGCCTTTTATTTTATAGAGAAATTCACTGTTTTATTCTTTCTTTATAGTTAACTTCTAAGAGCACGTTGTGTTTACTTTTTGCTTTATAAGACCTGACATGGCATTTGACCCAATCTGTTGACCACTATGGGGGGAGGGGTGGGAACATTCTTAAAAATTCCTTCCACGGAGGTGGGAGGAAAGCAGAGGACTCATTTATGTTGATTTAGCTACACTCTTTTGGCCAGATTCCTTTGTGACCACGTACGCTCACTTGTGGGACACCTGGCCAAGGATCTCAGGGGGAAGAGAACACAGAGTGAACAGAATCTATAACTCTTGATTAAATTATTAACTTTGCTTCATTAGCACTACATTCTAACCACTTTACTTGGCAAGGTATTGTTGTATAGGTATTTATTACTCGCCACAGAATTAGCTCCTGCAAGTCTTGTGGAGCCAAAGGCTGAAGGAGAATTCATCATTATCATTATCATCATTAACAGTAATACTAACTGACATTTATTGAGTGTTAATCTTTTTCTATTTTACATCTATTAGTACCTTGTATCCTATTATCCCGTTTTACAAATAAAAACCCTGCAACAGAATGGAATTAGGTAACTTGAACGAGGTGACACAACTATTAAGTGTCTGAGTCTATTTGGTTCTGAGGCCAGGCAGTCTGGGTCCAGAGCCCTCTCTCATAACTGTTTTGTTTTGCAATTCACAAAAGGTGAAATAACCTTTTCCTCCAACCTGTCAGCAGTCAGTGGCGACACCAAGTGGTAATATTTGTGTACTGCAGCCCTCTCCAACTTGACAATCACTCTTGCCCAAGCTCTCCCAAATAAATTTATATTTGCTCACTCTACAGAGGTAGCTTCATGACAAGTCTCCTTCCAACCATATTGCTATCCTTCAACCTCTCCTTTTCTTGTCTCGGAGGGAAAGGCATTTTTTCCAAGGTTAGCTTCTGTTTTGCATCACATTTCTATCTCCACGTATTTTACTCCATTATTTATCCCTCCCTTTTCTTGCCTCTTCAGTTTCTGTTTCACCAGTGGCTCTTCCTGCTCAACCTACAAATAAGCTCTGGATTTTCCTATCTTGCAATGAGAAAACCAAACAAATGAACCTCTCTTTGAACAATCACCCCAGATTCACTTAAAAAAAGAAAGATTTTATTTATTTATTTAAGAGAGAGCAAGAGAGAGCGAGAGAGAGAGAAAGCATGAGCGGGGGGAGGTCAGAGGGAGAAGCAGACTCCCAGCTGAGCAGGGTGCCCAACTCGGGACTCAGAGCTTGGGACTCGATCCTGCGACTCCAGGATCATGACCTGAGCGAAAGGCAGATGCTCAACTGTCTGAGCCACCCAGGTGTACCCCCCCGCTGCCAGATTAACTTTTTAAAAAAAGGTTTCATTTATTCCTTTGTGTGTGTGTGAGAGAGAGAGAGAGAGAGAGAGAGAGCGTGAGCACACAAGCAGGCAGAGGGAGAAGCAGGCTTCCTGCCAAGCAGAGAGCCCAATGCGGGACTTGATCCCACAACCCTGGGATCATGACATGAGCCAAAGGCAGCCGCTTAACCGACTGAGCCACCCAGGCATACCCAGATTCAGTTTCTTAAAGAAGAGTTCCAATAATGGGATTCTCTTGCTCAAAAACCTTAATTCTTTCTCAATCACTTTCTGAATTAAGTACAAATCTCAGTCTGACATTCAGGATCCTCCAAAATTTGGCCTGAATTTCTGGCTGTTTCTCCCTGACACTTCCCTACCCTAAGCTTCAATCATACAGGACTACTCACATGTCCTCATAGGTGATTTCCTTTGCACAAGTTACTATCTCCACTTGGATTTACGTTTATCAGAGGACTCAGCATAACTTTCCCTGGATTCTTTCTAGTTACTTATGGGTATATCCCACGCACCCACCCACCCACCTGTTACACTGTGAGTGCCTGAAGGCAGGGACTAAATGCTACCAGGTGAGAAGGTAAAAATTAGCTTGGACCAAGAAAACAAAAATCTGGCTATTCATCAGGCTGGAGTAACAGACACAGATAAAGCCAGCTGCAGATTTTATAGGGAACAATATTTCTCCCAAAGACACAGTGCAGCTGTAAACTGATAACAACCCCCTTTGAGTGACCACCGCCTTTTCTTTATTCAGCAAGAAACTTTGTTCTCTATAATCACAGACTATCAGAGACTTTGCTGTTTGAAATCATATCAATGAGAATAAAACATCCCACATTTGTCTGGAGGACATAAGGTTCTTGGACCCGAAGAGGCAGCCTTGATTTCCTATCCAGGTGTAGAGCTTTGGATAAGGGGTATCTGGACACAACATTCCGCATCTATTTTTACTTTGTGGTTTCCAAGGAAACAGTCCTCTGGGTTCGTTTCACAGTCCAGACCTGATGTTGACCCCTTCACACAGTCCTGCTTCCCACTTCCCAAAAACAATCCTTCATTTAAAATCTATCTAAACTCGACCATTCCCTCAAATTCTGTAGTGACTGCTTTTCTTTGTTTGCTGAAGTGCCCCATGGTTTCTCTTGTGGGTGGTCTTCTTCATTGCAGTGGTCAAAAAGCCTGACTTTTAGATTACCTGGATTGATTATATGGATTCCGATCTCAGTTCTGCTGATAACTAATTAGCAGGATCACCTTAAAAAGCCAATGCACTCCTCTGGCCTATTTTCTTTTCTGTAAAATGAGGGGCTGTTTCTTACAATTCCAGGTAGACCTGGGTTGGACGCTCAGTTCTCCCACTTAAGTGAGGCCTGTGAATTTTTCTTTTTCATTTTCTTTTTTTTTTTTTTAAAGATTTTATTTATTTATTTGTCAGAGAGAGAGAGAGAGAGCGCGCACAAGCAGGCAGAGGCGGAGAGAAGCAGGCTCTCCGCCGAGCAAGGAGCCCGATGTGGGACTCGATCCCAGTATTCTGGGATCATGACCCGAGCTGAAGGCAGCGGCCCAACCGACTGTGCCACCCAGGCGTCTTGATTTTAGCTTTTTCTGAGCCTCCGTGAAAACCGCTGCGTAGATTATCGTGTTGCAATGAAGATCCAGTTGATTGTTAAAAGCATCACTATATTCCATCATTATTCTTACTCCTCTTATGTGAGCTCAGACAAGTTACTTAATCTTTCTGTGCCTCCGTTTTCTCATGAATAAAAGTGGAGAATAATAGTACGTACCCCAGTGCGATTATTGCGGGCATTAAATGAGATGAAAATGAGTTAAGGGCTTAGAGCAGTGCCTGGCACATAATTAGAGTCTCCAAATATGTGAGCTAATGTAACTAGTATTAGATTACTACTAGCTGTTCCGTGGACCAGAAGTTCAGGATAAACAGTTCCATTCTAAAGACAAAACCCCAAAGAACCGTAGCCCAGGCTGGAAACGGTGAAACATAATGGAGCGTTCCTTTTTCAAAAGCAATTGGCACGCCCAGCACTGGGTTAAGGACCCGCCCAGTCCTCATTAAATATGGCAGCAAGCGGGGCCGACCTACTGCGGCTGCGCACGCGGAAACTCCTCCTTCGCCGCTTTCTCCGCCGGGCCGTCTCCCCTGCTCGCCTCACCCCCTGCCCGGGCGGGGCAGAGGTGCGGGGAGAGGGCCGGCCGGGGCGCGCACGCGCAGACCTTGACTCTGCTTGGCCGACACTTGCGAGGCGTCTGTCACATGAGCCGCGCGCCCGCTCCGCTCCCCCTCCTCCCGGCTGGGCTGTGAATGAAGCTCTGCCGGCTACGTGGGGCGCTAGCTCAGCTGGGTGTCCTGGACGCCAGAGCCGTCTGAGCGCTCGGCCGGCCGGCGGCCGACACGGGCTCCGCCGCCCCCGACCTCGGCGACAGGTAAAGACAGATGGGCTGTCGCTTTCCCAACAGGTCCTTCGTGGGCCGCTGGCCCCCTGGCCGGCTCGCGGAGCACCCCCAGATCGCAGCGACACGGGGGAAGCGTTCCTCCGCTGGCTCGGCCCCCCGGAGATGGGGGTTCCCCTTGCCCGGCCGCCGCCGCCTGGCACTCGGAGGAGTTAGACAGGCTAGTTCTAGCCAGTGCAGGGCGGCATCTTCCCGCGAGCCCTGCCCTATTCTGCGAGCCGGGGTCCCTGCGCTGTCCCAGCGAAGTTTTCTCGAGGAGCGGCGCCAAGCCCGTCCCGCTTTTGAATGGGGGCGGGGGGAGGCTGGCTGCAAGGCGTCCCCTTTCCAGGACTGGGGCAGAGTGGTTTTGGTTGGTGAAGCTCTGTCGAGGCCCCGTTCTTCTTCCTCGTGCTCTGGACTCGCAGGTTTGTGTGGGTCTTTGCGAAGTGGACTCCGGGCTCTCAGAAAAGTCGGTGCTGCGCGTTTTCCTCCCCCCCCTCCCCAATTCACGCGGGTAGCTTGTTCTCTCCAGGCTTTCTAGGCTTGCACTGGAGCGCCTTCACCGCGAAGGCGAAAGCTTTACGTTCACGCTGATGCACGTTTACCTTTCTTAATATTTCAGAGCAAATCAGTTTCCTGGAGTGCCAAGCGAAGTTGTCCGTGTGCCCGTGAGATAACGTCAGTGTAAGCTACCCCGAATAAGTGAGGGAAATCGACAACCGTGGAGCATAAAAATCCAGTAAGAATCTGCTTTACAGTCATCTTCATACATTTATTAGCAGCTACCCGGCTTTAACTTCAGAGATGTTAAATTTCGCCTGGTCCCATGAGGCGCGGACCACTACTTAACTGTACACGAAATAAGGGGGGGCGGTGGGAAGACAAACCAAAACAAACTGTCCCAGGTTCCGGATAAGTCATCAGAGCGCTTTTTCCTGGTGAATTCATCATTGGACTTGTGAGTTCCTGAGTTTTCTTGGACTTTGCGAACCTTTCCTTATCCAAAGCATTGTTTTTTCTCTATGGGTGCTTTTGGGACTGTGTACACATTGACACTCTTGTCCTTAAAAAAAAAAAAGTCATTAAGAAAGACCAAAATGATGATTCTCAAGTTCGTATTAGTCTTTAGTGTATGTGCGTTAGCATTTTCACTTCGAGGGTGGAGGTGTTGCTGGTCTAAGTGATGGAAATCGCGAAGTGTAATTTCATGTTGACCAACTCAAAAAGGTGAGGACTTTTTCTTAGACAGAGCTGATGGCTTGTATGCTAAATAAGGAAGACCAGTTTATTAATTAAGAACTTAAGTGGCCAGGACTTTGTTTAATATATTAAGCCTCTGAATCAAATGAAGTAGATACTTCCTTCGCCCCCTTCTCATTCCTAGCTCCTTTCCTATCCTTGCAAATTGTGTTGTCCCTAAGACTGAATTGGACGCTGTAAATTTAGGAATTAGCTGAATTAATTTGGTTGTACTTAAATTAGCATTCTGTTTTTACTTTTTTTTTTTGTCTTTGGTTCTTCTTTCCCCTGAATATGAAAGCAATATATGCTTCCTATAGGACATTGGCAAAGTGTGGGAAAGTATAACGAAGCAGAGAGGAAGAACCATGACCCCAAGGGCATTGCTCTTTAACTTTTCTTTATTATGCTTCCTTTCTTTTCCATCCCGATACAGGGGTTATTATAAAACTTGAAATATTACAAAATTTGTTTTCCTTTCTACTAATTTTTTAATGTAAAGTTGGTTTGGGGGGGTAGGTGAGGGCATTGGATATTACGTGGCTCTTCATTCCCTTCACTGTGGAACTTCAGGGTAGGAAAGAAGATTTAGTGGTTATCTCACTCAACCACCCATCCTTTGAGATTCTGAAACCCATTTACTGAAGATCCAGTGTTTCATGCAGAATTGGACAGCACTCAGTGTCTATAGTAACTGACTCTAGAACTTCCCATTCTTTTTTTGTTTTAAAGATTTTATTTATTTTTTTGACAGAGATCACGAGTAGGCAGAGAGGCAGGCAGAGAGAGAGGGGGAAGCAGGTTCCCCCCTGAGCAGAGAGCCCGTTGCGGGGCTCGGCTTGGTCCCAGGACCCTGGGATCATGACCTGAGCTGAAGGCAGAGGCTTTAACCCACTGAGCCACCCAGGCACCCCCCATTCTGTCTTTTTAAAGTGATACTTTGCTGGGAGAAACTTGACATTGCCCTCGTCTGCATATCCTCAAAAGAGAGGTTCAAAGAGGGACAGGAGGTAACTTTTAAGGATTTGAAATTTTTTTTTCCATTTAGGTATTCATTTTTCTGTTCACATTTTCAGGTTCAGAGCGTGAGCTGCTTGCAGGAAACAAGGCCACGCAGCTGCTGTTCCATCTACATCCCATTCAAGCCTCCTTATAAAACTGGAGGAATTTGGGAAACTGAGTGTGTGACCCCCAACGTGGGAGAGGACAGGATCAAGATGGCCATGTGGCAGGGTAAGAGATCAGCACTTATTTCTCTGACTGGTTTTTCCTCCTTCTCTGTCCTCCATCCCAACCCAACCCCCCAAGCCAGTGGCAGGCAGCCAGCTGTTTCTTTAATTTAACCCTTTGTCTCCACAAGGACAAAGGATATTAATTTAAAAGAAGTTGCTGCTAGCTAGAAGTTTAATGAATTTTAAGGTAGGGGAGGAGGGGTAGGGAGAGGGAAGTAAGCTGGAAAATGTAATGCCAGAAGCATTTCAAAGAACTCCCTTCGTTTGAACATGTGCTTGTGGGGGGTTATATGTGAGGAAACAGAGGATTTTTTTTTTCATATTTGTGTTTTTCATTTGTTTCCGGCAAATTCCTATCATAAGGTTCCCGATAGTGGGGGAGACAGATGTCAGCACCTTTCTGGCTTCCTCTTCCCCATAAAGACTTTAAAGCATATTTACTGTTATAATGTTTATATTTGGTGATACAAGGAAAATTCCTATTTTAACAATGTGAACTACCCAAGAGCAAAACTCAACGATATCTTGCCTGATGGGTTTACATCTCTTGTGAACCTGAGAATTCCTACCACATACGAAGTTATTTTTTATTTTTGGTGGGGATGAGGATTGTGTCTTTGGGAGACTATCAGCATTTCTGGGAGTATGTGGGATTTTTATGTTTCTCCATAGGGCATGTGGGTTTAAGAAATGATAGACAAATGCTGCCCAAACTGGTTTATGACCCATAAAAGGTTAAGGACCACTTAGGTGGAGCAGAATATGCAAGAACTTGAATAGCTATAAATTTTCAACAGGTAGGTTTGTTGGTTGTCTGAAGTATCTGTCAAAACTGTCTCCTGCTGGTTATGACTTCAAGTGTGAAGGCACACAAATGTAACATAGTTTTGATGTACAAGGACTGTCGGTTTGAAGATGTTTATTGAAATGGGATTTGGGGATGCCTGGGTGGCTCAGTTGGTTAAGCATCTGCCTTCAGCTCAGGTCATGTGGGATTGAGTCCCACATCAGGCTCCTTGCTCAGCAGGGAGTCTGCTTCTCCATCGTCCTGTCCTTCTCCCTGCTTGTTTCCTCACACTTTCTCTCGGACAAATAAATAAAATCTTAAAAAAAGAAAAAAGGAATGGGATTTGGCCTGTATTGCTTTGCTTTGACGAACATAGTGGATGCTGATCAGGAGCAGTTTGGAAGTTCCTGTTCAAATCCTGAGACGTTCTTTTATTCAACAAGCATGGTACCGAGATGCATAAAACAGAGACCTAGAGGGCTCCTTGTCTTATGGGAAAGAGCGACATCTAAACAAATAATTGTGTTAGGTTGAATTAAGTGTCGGAATAGGGAGAGGTGCAAAATGTGACGGAAGCCTAGAGAAAAGCATGCCGAATTTTGAATTTTGAGCTCGTCTGAAAAAAATGAGTGGGAGTTTGCCAGATGGGCAAAATGAGAGAATTGCATTCTGGGCAGGACAGAGAAGCACTGTTTGGGAACTTCCAAGTTACTCCGTTTGTCTTGTGTGAGATGTGTGGGCCACGACCTCGGATGAAGCTGGGAAGGTAGTCGGAGGCCAGATAATAAAGAACCTTGTATGTTCTAGGAAGGATTTTACACTTTATCCGGGAGACAAAGATTCTAAACAGGGAAGTAACATAATCAGATTTTGTTTTAGAAAGATTACTTTGGCAGCAGTGTTAAGGTGGAGTTGGAGCTGGAGAGAAAGCAAGCCAAGAACCGGTTGGAAGGTTTCTGGTAGAGTAGTTGAGGGAAGGAGATGGTGGTCTGAGCAAAAGCGGGGGCAGCAGGGGCAGAGAGCCACGGGATGAATTCTAGAACTGTCCTGTGACTGGATGTGGCGGGGGGACAGCCCAGGCCGACACCCAGTTAGGGTGTTTGGGGCTGGTGATGCCAGCCACAGAGCTGACCATGGGAGGAGGTCGCAAGGGCATGGGGATGATGGGAAGTTAGGGTACTGACTTTGGTTTGGCCTCTTTTGCTTGGGACACCTGTGGGCTGTCAGGTCCATGATTAAAAGATAGTGCTGGGAGTAGAGAACTGAAGTTGGTGCAGGTGGGGATCTAAAGTTTTGTTCCAAATGACGCAGAAAGAGATTGTGTTTTTTTCTCTGTTTAATGGGAAACGTCGTTAGTAGTTAATGATTTATTTATTTTCTAATAAAAACATTTTAATGGGTGCCAGTTCTTAATAAAATGGCCCATTTTCTTAATAAATAATGTATTTTGCTCTCTCAGCCCTGAAACTGGATCTGCTTAAAATGACATTGGAATAAAACTGAATTTTCCTACCATTAGTGAAGAGGGGAGTATTCCCTATAATTGCGACTTATTCTTTGTTGTCGTGCAACCTCTGAAATGACAAGTGTAGTATAATGATAGTGTGGCTGGCTGTATGGTATGATAGTTAAAAATACGGTTTTAGGTTCGCTTCTGCTGGTTCTATCACGTGATAGCTGTGAGACCTTGGGCAAGTCCCTTAACCTCTCTGTTTCTCAGATTTCCCCCTTTGTAAAATGAGAATAATAATAGAACTGATCTTATAGGGTCATTTTGAAGATTAATCTACGCAAAGCACTTAGGACTTCGTAAGTGCTGTGTTAAGTGTATGCTTTTATTCTTAGTAGTAAGACATTTAGAATATTGCCCAGCATATAGTAAGTGGTCTTTAAAATTTAGCAGTAGCTGCTGTTGTTACTACCATTACTATGGCTACTACTTATATGACTACTGCTATTGTTGTCACTATTATTTTGCTCTAGCCTGAGGTGGGCCTGAGGCCCTGTTCTGTGGAGGGAGTTTCAGGTCGTCTTTGGAAGCCCTGCCCTGTGGTAATCTGTTTGGGTCTTTAGGTAGAGGTTTCAATTCTTAGAAAACCTCTAAAGCATCCTTAGAAAACATCTAGCCCAACCCCAGAGGTTAAGTGACATGCCCATACTCAGACAGGTTGATAGTGGTGACAGGACTAAAACCCAGGTGTCCTGGTTCCCTATTCCAGTTTTCTTTCCATGGGCTCATGGAAGAGGGAATGTGTGGGTCTGTTCTCAGCTCAAGGACGCTCTGAGTCAGTTTCTAGAGCTGGTTGAGGAACTCTAAGAGCCAGAGGAAGCCAAGTCTCAGCCTCTGGGGTCAATGTTGTCTAGCTCCTCCTTGGAGAATATTTTTTTTCTTTTTTTTAAAGATATTTATTTATTTATTTATTTGACAGAGATCACAAGTAGACAGAGAGGCAGGCAGAGGTGGGGGGAAGCAGGCTCCCTTCTGAGCAGAGAGCCCGGTTGTGGGGCTTGATCCCAGGACCTTGGGATCATGACCTGAGCCAAAGGCAGAGGCTTTAACCCACTGAGACACCCAGGGGCACCCTTCCTTGGAGAATTTTGTCAGAATTCCCATACCTCTTAGACATGGCCGACATTATTGACTTCATTCGATGAAGCCCACTAACACATTTCCTGGCTCCTTTAAACAGAGTCTACTGGGCCAAATTTAATATTTTTGGTAACTCAGGGTCATCATCAATACCATCAGTTTTCCTGGTCTAATGGTCAAGAATTATTGACAAGAGGACTAGCCAGTTTGGGGTGGGATGAGGTTGGAGATGTGTGGTCGGGTGTTATTTCTTTATTTGGTTGTCATTAGGCACCAGCTTGCACCAGGCACTGTGCTGAGCCCTGGAGGTGCTGTGGTTAGTAAAACGGGTACGGTCTCTGCTTTCATGGAGCTTGCCAACTAGGATAAAGGGAACATTTCAAATTCACGAAATGATTTATTGAACAAATGTCCCGAAGTAATTTGGAAAAAATGACACCAATATAAATTTAGAAGATGAAAATAGTGTTTCTTTTTAGGAGGGGGTGCCTCAGAATTGTCTGTAGTGCTTTTAGAAAGGTGCCTGCTCAGGTCTTAGGCCCCTAAATTGTGGTTCAGTCTTGAGACCTGAGCATTTAAAAAGACAAACAAACAACAAACCTCTGTAAGCAATTCTGCTCTGTAATTCTGTTTGGGAACGGCTACATTAAAGAATTAAAACTTTTTTTTTTAAATTTTATTTACTTATTTGACAGAGATCACAAGTAGGTGGAGAGGCAGGCAGAGAGAGAGAGAGAGGGAAGCAGGCTCCTCGATGAGCAGAGAGCCCGATGCAGGACTCGATCCCAGGACCCTGAGATCATGACCTGAGCCGAAGGCAGCAGCTTAACCCACTGAACCACCCAGGCGCCCAAGAATTAAAACTTTTTTAAAAAGAGATGGTAATGGAACTCAGAAATATAGGAGAATATATAATTGTGGGGTAGGGAAGGTATTTGTATGCATAATATTAAAGGTAAAATAATGAGTAAAACAATATAATCAACTATATGAAAATTTAAAAATTCCTCCAAAAACCGTACAGTTAATGAGAAAACTGGAAGCAATTGCAACAAGACTCATTATTCTTAATACATAAAGACTTACAGAGCAATAAGAAAAACATAAGTGTTCGACTAGCAAAGGATGGGAATAGGAAAATACATAAAAAAAAATCTAAATGGCCCATTAATGTGAAAAATGTTCTCAGTGGTAGTCAAAGGAGATTTAGGATGGCATACCATTTTCTCCAATATAATTTGCAAAAATTAAAAAGGAATGACAACTCAGTGCTGGCAAGGACATGAGGAAGCAGGCATTCTGATACACTTCTGGTGGGAACATGAGTTTGGCAGTGTTTATCAGAAGCTTTAAAAACCATATTTACCTTTTGACCCAGCATTGTTTTTTGGGGGGGGAATTTATCCCAAGGAAGTAATTAAGGATGTGCACAAAGGTATGTCAATAAGGATATTCATTGCACCATTTTTAGAGTGGGGAAAAATTGGTAATGTTTGCATTCTGAAAGAGCAATACAGTGGAATACTATAGTTACCAAAAAGGATAATGTTGAGCTCTTCTTATTAACATAGAACATAGGTCCATATTGTGATGTTATGTGAGTGGTGGTGGGGGAAGCAGGTCC